TCGAGCCACCGCCAAGACGTCTAACTTGCTATATACCATAGAGAGAGAACGGAGCCGACAGCTGATGCAGGATGTCTATATATACCTATACATTCTAAAGGAGCGCGGTGAACCCGTTTATACGCTACATACTCGCATATATAACATGACAGAGGGCACTCAAAAAGAGTGCATACCTCCGCGAGCGTGTAACATGTATACATGTGTATAACAGCTGGCTCGCTGCTGGCTGCTGCTGGCTGGACGCCTTAAGGCGAGCTGCTGCTGACTGGACGCCCTAAGGCGAGCTGGCGCTGAATCGATCGATCGGTTGAGCGTGTGTATAACAGCTGGCTCGCTGCTGGCTGCTGCTGACTGGACGCCCTAAGGCGAGCTGGCGCTGAATCGATCGATCGGTTGAGCGTGTGTATAACAGCTGGCTCGCTGCTGGCTACACACACACACGAACACACACACGCGGGCGATTGCATGACCTCCGTTTGCAACGCGGAGGTAAATATTGTGCCACTGCGTAAGCTGATGCTACGTGTTCTTCTATAGGCGCGGTGCCGAGAGAATCGTGCGACGCCATTCCCTAAACCGTTATATTACCTAAAGAGATATAAGAAGATACACACGTACGCACGCGCAACAATACACATACAAGTAAACAAACAAACACAAAAAAACATTCAAACTCACACACAAACACACACACACCCACACACACACACACACACACACACACACACACACACACACACGACACGACACGCACGCACGCACGACACACACACACACACACACACACACACACACACACACACATCACCCGTAGCTTTCCAGGTCGTGCGCCGAATGAATGCATGCAAATATTTCCGTGTCAACTCAGCGTCTTGCGTGCGTGCCCCTAGCACCATACCCACGCACGACAGAATAGTCGCGTAACCATGACAACTTATGTATTTGTTCAGCGACAGACATGTGCCTTTTGCCTGATGCCAAGTTTACACAATTCCTGTGCAAACTTCGTATATAAATGTCAGCCTATAAATAAATCTGCAATGCGCCAGGGTGGCATTAGATTCTAAGGTTAACATTTGCGCAAGGGGAGCTGCGTGTGCGTGCGTGCGTGCGTGCATGCGTGCGTGCGTGTGCACGTATGTGTTTGTCTATGTTTCGGATCCGAATGGTTAAAACATGATAATTTATATGCCGAAGAAATGATATCAACCACAAAAATGAACGACCTGCCGCGTAGTTTTTAAAATGCGGAAATTTTCGGAATAGGCCAACCAGCATTAGAAGCGTATGGAAATCTCTTGAGCACTCTCAGTAAGCGATTGTAATTGCGCTGTTATCGCTCTAGTCGGCTTATGATGTGTGGAGAGGGGGAGGGGAGATGGTGACAGAAGATATATGGTAAGTGTAGTCAGAGCGAAAGCGATTGGCGTCTGGTGGCAAAGTGGCGATGACAGATGAGGCAAAGGCTGCTAGAGACATATGGCGGAGGGAATAAGTAAGGGGGGAAAGACAGGTGGCTGTTGTAGATAGATGAAATGTAGACAGTCTCGTGGTGTATGCAAGAAGGAAGGCAAAGATAGGTGCTGTCCAGAAGGAAATAGGGAATAAAGATGGTTGCTGAAGATCTAGGAAGAGCAGAAGATGGACAATGAAAAAGGATGGGTTAATGCGTATAAAGAGGGAGCTATGACTGAGGGTGTGTCAGGATAGATTGTTGGCTATGACTGAGGGTGTGTCAAGGTAGATGGTTGGCTATGACTGAGGGTGTGTCAGGATAGATGGTTGGCTATGACTGACGGTGTGTCAGGA